TGCTCCTGCCAGCCACACTATGGAAGGGGAAACGGGTGAACTTTGAAAGGAGGCAAATTTCACAGTTAATATCAGGTAGTTGTCCGTTCAGCTTCAAGCCCTTAACGGCTCCATCCTTCTCCAGCTGCTTCAGCAAAGGCATTGCCACATGCCCCAAACGTCGGTGTGCAGTTGCCCAATCCGTCTCTCCAGATCTGGCCGACACTTTCACACCAACCCCTCCAACGGCGTTGCACTCCCCCTGGGATGCAGACCCCTCTCCAGCCTGCCCCCCACCGTGCCACGCCAGCGCCGGCAGCTGCCACATAGATCTGTACACGTCCTTGCTCTCGTGCAGATCCCAAAGCACCCGATTGCCCAGCTTCCCCTTATAAGTGCGAGCCCCATCCGTATTGGTATTCACCCCAGCCTTGCCAAGCTTACGGAGGGAGATAAGGTTGGCCTTCAGGTCGGGGATGAGGAGAACGTCATGCAGCACCACCGGCTTGCCATCCGCTCCCTTCAACGCAGCTCGTCCCGCACCAGCCACCTTCAATACATGTCCAGAGGCAGAGCACACCTCATTAATCGGTGCAACGTATGTCGTCCAGCAGGTCCTTGCGCGGCGTCATTGTCCAAGCAGCGCCTGTGTCCAACACCCAATGGTCCAGGGGGTGCAGCTCTGCTCCAGCCTTAGCAGATGCGTCTCCTTGCTCCCCCTTGTCTCCCATATGGAAGAATTGGCCCGCGGTGCGCTCCTTCTTTTTTTCCGCACCACTGTTGCCCTTCAGGTTGTTGTCGGACGAATCGGCGACCATGTTGGCGCCGTTTTTCTGGTTCCTCCGCGCGCCGCCATCCTGGTGACAATTCTGGGGGGTCCATCCATCGGGTTTCTTATAGCACAAAAACCAGGGGTGCCCTTTCTTCTCACAATACCAGCAACTCCCTTTCATTTTGCCACCAGCACCCGACTTGCCCCCACGTCCAGATTTCGCACCGCGACCCCAACCAGTACCTCCTTGTTGGTCGTTGGAGTCGTCGTCTTTCTTTGCACCGCGTCCAGCACCACCGAAGCCACGTCCTTTGCCACGTCGGCTCCCTTGCATCCCGTAGCCGCTGCTGCCGTTGTCTCCACCCCTCAGTTGACGGCGACGGAAGTTTACCTCTAGAATCTTTGTCCGCACCTACTCGAGTGTCCATGAGCTCTGGTTCTGCGGCAGGCTCAATCCGCTCGTGAATTGAAGCCACGATTCCGGCAGCAGCGAGAGCATCTTCAGGCACTTGGTCTGCTCCGGGTAGGTGATTCCCGCGGTCGCCAACTTCGCGTAGAGGTCGCGCAATTTGTCCAGGACAGGTTGCACCGGCTCTCCCTCGCTCAGCTGCAACGCGGACAGCTCCCTCTCCAGCATCAATGTTGCAACAACGGAGGTCGGGGCGTGCAGCTCCTTCAACACGGTCCACGCCTTCGGACCGCACTCAACCTCCGGCAGCAAGTGCATGACGTGGTGACGCTGGTTCAGCTCCAAACTCTGCGACATCAAATAGTAGCCAGCCAAGGCGCGCTCGTCCCAATCTTCATGAAGGGCGGGGTCACTCGGTCTAGGCTCCTCCCCAATGATCACTTTCAGCAAACCGATCTGACGGAAATAAAGTTGCATTTTCCAGGCCCAATCATCATAGCCCTCACCATTGAACTTCTCGACGGTGAAGTTTTTCAGCACCTCCTTGATCAGCGAGCCCTGGCTTGTTCGCGCTTCCCTTGGCGCAGAAACACCAGAATCTTGGCTGCCGCTACGATCTTGGGCTGAAGATTCACCAGCTACCGCCGAGGTGTTGCCCGCCATAGCTACCTATAAGGAGGATCACTATTACGCAGCTCTGATACTAGCTTGTTGGTGTAAGGGCCTAATAAACTCAAGCTATTAAGACTTTATCAAACTTAAAACCTCTCCTCGGGGTCACCTCCAAGGGTCCTTGGGTGCCTGGTACAAGACCAGCCCCTATCCTCGGGTCCGAGTTTGTAGAGAGAGGGATCAAGAGGGACTAAGTCAAAACAGCAAGAGTACCTTGAACGTCGCGCAGCGTATCGTGCAGACCGTCGATTGGATTAAGCTGAGAATTTCCTTTATCGAAGCTCACTCTAAGAGCTTTAAAATAAGCCAAGTTGCCTCGCGAAAAGTTCTGCCATTACGAAGTTATGGCTCGGACAGCGTTAGCCTAGCGTTGGAGTACTAGCGTACTAGCGTTGACTCGGGTACCATTCCGCCGTCGCACCGCGTAGAAACGAATTTCCAGGAAGGGAGGAATTCGCTTGAATCAATTTCACTATATCCAGGTACAAACAGAGAAAGAATAAATAGTTCTAGCTAGCAAGGACCTTGGGAATAAACCTGGGAACAACCAAGGATGATCCCAAATAATTCCAAGCAACAGAACCAACCTGGCTGGACAAAACAGCAGGTGGTAGGTTGGTAAACAACCTCTGGTTCTGTTTTTCCAACCTGGGAAAACAACAACCAGGTTCAGGTCCTAAAAACAGAACCTGTTTTGTCTTTGCCCAACCAGCCAAATGCTGGTTCCGCTGGTTTCCCCTGGCCCTGTAGCATGCAGATACAGACAAACAACATCCAACCTTCACCTAAATTATACCCCTATAGTGCCTGCCCTGCTACACTATAGTCAACCAAACAAAACAGTACAATTTCGAGTTGGATAGAACTGAATCTGCGCAATCAAGTAAGCCGAACCGCAAAGCTTCCATCTTGGGCTCCTTTGCGAGCTCGTCCTTTCTGCTTGTACTGTTCATAGCGCGTACAATGTTATGCCGAAGCGCGCAATGCGCGAGTACCTGCAAATGCTTCAAGCGAAAATTGCGAAAGCAAACAAACACACGAACATTCCATTCATACCCAAATTCATTGGCACACGCATACTCGTACAAACAGACGGCAGGATGTCGTGCAATGTGAATTTGCACCCAACATGGGGAGGTGAAGAGTTCCGATTTGGAGCACGTGGAGCTGCTTTTGGAGATGAGCAGTGGCAGCAGCACCACAAGGCGATTTTCCCTTGTGAATCGGGGAGAGGAGGCCAGGGATGTAGAGCAAGAAGAGGAGGAGGTGCAGCAAGTGAGCGAGCGTTCACCTACGCTTCGTTTCCGCACTAAGAGCGCTTTACGGAACCAAGCCACACCGCAGCAACGCCAAGGCCTTCAAGTCCTTGCAGCAGAGGAGGAACGAAGGGTCAAGAGGAGAGTCCAAGCCCCTAATAGGCTGACCTATGATGCGCCGCGAAAGCAAGGCAAGACGGCCTTAGCTGGAGTGGCAATGATGGTCGGAGACGACGAGGAGAATGATTAGAAGGAGTGTGCGTTCACGTTCTTCTTTCCGGTGGAGATGTCGGGAGAACCAGCAACTCTCAAGAAGGCCTTGGAGAGTGGTGATGGAGAAGAAGAAGGCAATGGAGAGTGAGCTGAAGAGCATTGAGGAGAACGACACGTTTCAATTGGTGGAGCTACCGGAGGGGCATACGGCGATAACGTCCAAGTGGCTCTTCAAGATCAAGTCCGATGCCGATGGCAAGATCGAGCGTTACAAGTCTCGGCTGGTGGCCGAGGGGTACCAGCAGAAGGACAAGGTGGACTTCAATAATCTGTTCGCTCCTGTGGTGAAACCGACGACACTGCGAACCCTATTCGCGGAAGCCGCGATCAAAGGTTCGGTGGTGAAGCAGCTGGACATCGTAACAACGTTCCGCAACGGAATCCTTCTGGAGGAGATTTCATGGCGCAGCCAGAGGGGTTTGATGACGGTAGCTGCAGAGTGTGGAAGCTGAAGAAGGCCCTGTATGGGCTGAAGCAGGGCCCTGGGCAGTGGTACTTGAAGCTGCGCGAAGTGTTGGAGGAGATCGGATTCACTCCCTCAACGGCCGATCACTCCTCAGGATCCAGTTCTGGGCCCCATACCGTCGACTTGCTATAGTTACAGCTGAGCCCGCATCTTTGCAGCCTGTCCGTGAGCAGGTTGAGAGCTAGCGTCGACGCCTCAGGGGAGCCAACCACCATGATTGTTGGTGCAACCCTATGGTTTGCACTCAGCTTGTTGTCCGTGTGCGTGCATGAGTGTGTGCATCGAATGGAATGAGGGCATGAAATAATATATATTTCATGCTTATAAGAGTGTGTGTTTGATGGGTCATGATGTCGAATGTGTGTGTGTCGAGCCAATAGCGAGTTATCGCTAGCCGCTTGTTAATTCAGTCATTTGTGTCTTGCGCGCGGTCTCTATTTTCTCGTGTATCTCGTGCGCGGTTTCTATTTTGTCATGTGTCGAACATTCGGCATGTCGCAGATGTGTGCAGCAGACCCATCAAGAACTCAAGGATGAGTTTTTTTATGAAGAACCCGGGCCTTGGTTTCAAGCTTCAAGTGATATCGAAGCTCGCCAAAGGGTACACTTCAAGATATTGAAGATAGTTTACATTACAATGTGTAGTGTAACATTTCTCTTGGTGTAGGCCCTTGTGAAGGGTGGTTTCAAGACTCTTCTTGGTTGGGGACAGTGTGGCACTGTTCCACATCACTGTACCTCGGCTCTTGGGGTTTGTACGAGCTGCGCCGACGACAATCACTCCGGATCTGGCCTGGTTGCTCAGGATCGAGCTCGATGTTCTCGGATGATGGGGTAGGTGAAGGGATAAAGGGCGCGTCAGTACCTGAGTCCTCAGCATCCGCCTCTTCCCCCACTTCCTCCGCTGGGCTAGGATCCGTCCGACCGTGGCGTTCCCTCCAAGTCCTCGATCTCACTGGTTCCGACGGGGCTCGCGCTTTGGCACTGCGACATCTCCCACTGGCTGTTGTTCCGCCCCTTCCCACTCCCTTGCTCGCTGGGATCCACGGTCTAGCCGGCGCCACCCACCGGATCCAATTGGCGTACAGTGATGCAGTCGGTGCCGGCTCCCCTCTCTCCCGGCCTGGCGCTCACGTCGCTGCGCCCTATGTGTTGTCGCCGTTGCTGCCTTCTCTACTGGTGGTTCATCCGTTGATGGCAGACGAGGCACTTGCTGTTGTGGCGACTGCTCTTGTCGGAGCCACCCGTAGAGGGGACAGGGCTGGGCGGGTCCCAGCGCTGCTCCAAGCCGTCGCGGTGCTGGCTGAAGGCGACGACCATGAGACGATCGGGAGGCGCAGACGTTCGGCCCAATATCGTTCTCCCCACGCGATGGCACACCCGTACCGCTGTGCACCATATCAGTCACCGGGCCCCGCACCTCCGCAGCCTCGGCAAAATGCCGGGCACAGTCGTCGGCGGCGCCAGCGCGCAGCTCCGCAGCAGTCTCCTCTGCGTTTCACCCCCAGCAAGTGGATCTGCCGCAGCCTCCGTCTCCAACTCCACCCGCTCAATCCCGGGCGCCTCCTCCCGCTGTGTCTCCCCCACCGCGAGATCCCTATGTGTCGGGTCCCCTGTCCCAGCCACAGCTACCATCTCAGCCTCACTCGATTTTGCCGCACTATCTGCATCTCACTTCCACGGCGCCTTACTACGCTGCCCCCACCCATTTCGTCCGCCGAGCGAGCTCTATCCATGCTTCCGCGATGTCTTATGCTGCCCCCGCCCATTTCGTCCGCAGCACCATCTGCATCCGTGCTTCCGCGGCGTCTTACGCTGCCCCCGCCCATCTCATCCGCAGCACCATCTGCATTCGCGCTTCTGCAGCGTCTCACGCTGCCCCCGCCCATTTCTCTGCAGCACCATCTGCCTCCGCGTTTTCACGTCGCCTTAGGCAACTCTCACGCATTTCGTCCGCCGATTTGTCAGCATCTGCGTTCTCGCGGTGCCTCACGCTACTCCCATGCATTCCGTCCGCCGGGTCATTTGCATCCGCGCTCCCGCGGCGCCTCGCGCTCCCGCGGCGCGTCGCGCTTCCCTTGCACATATCGTCCGACGAGCGACCTGCCGCCGTGTTCCCGTGACGCCTCACACTGACTTCTTTGCTCATCCCTTTTGAAGTATGATCCATTTCCGCGTCACTATCACGCTCTTCCCCATGTCGATCCTGCAGACCCGTCTCTATCATCCTCTTATCTTGCTTCCCGCCACCCCGCGCAGATGGTCCATCTTCAAGATCCTGCTCGTCGTCAGCCTTGCATGCTGATTCCGGCGAGTCCACTACACCCGCGTCCTCATTACGCGTTTCGCCCGCTCCTTGTTGGCCTCCTGCCAGGTTCCAAGGATCACTTCCCGCCGGACAAGACGTCGACTCTACATCTGCCTGCAGATCGGCCCCAGTTCCTCGTCGTCGTCCTTTGCCGGGCGACTCCAGATCTGAGCGAATCGCCCCCCTTCATGGCGAACGCACCAGCGATCTACCCCGCTCCTCTGAGCACATCATCCGCGACGGCAATCGATCCCGACGCGAGTCCGTCCGCTGCCAGCGCAGCTCGTGGCAGTCCATTCTGCCCGATCTGTTTCTCTCATTTGTGAGAGATCCCCGCTCCCACAGATGGCTGCTCATAGTGGCCTCATCACCTAGGCTGGAGTTAGCCGTCAATCAGTAACATGTATCCACTATAGCGAGCAAACAAACGAGAGAACGAGTTTGTGTAGCAGAATCCTAGGCTATCTGAATTAACTACCTGTGTCGCCAAGTTTCCTAAGAGCAACATCGAGCTCCACAAGGCTTCAGGATTGGTTCCCCAAATTGCCCAATGCTCAATGTCCCTTGATACTTTCCTCTTCGTGCCCCTCAGCTCCCTTTTGCCACCACCCTCGTGTCACCACCCAAGGACCCAACCCCGACCCAACTTCTACAGTAATCAAAATAACATTCCTACATCTTCCTAGCTCATAACAAAGATGTATTACACTATAATACATTTCATAGTCGTTTGTTTGTGTATTCTCTACTTGCGCATTCACGGGGAATTTTTTTGCAAGAGTTTCACTAGCGAAGATTGACAACAATGGTGTAGAATCCAAAGAAACAACGGACTATATCAGATGCTATGTTGCACGCAGACGACTACCAGCACAGCACGGTCGACCGCATTCTAGCACTTCAAGGTCGACCGCGCTCTAGCAGGGCAAAGTAGCGGTCTGCCAATGCTGCAAGTTGACGGCGTGCCATGTAGCAACGTAGTCGGCTCCGCCCAAGCGAGGACGGGGCCAACACACAACTCCTGTTGATAGTCGAGCCGCCTCCTCCAAAAACCAATAGAGGTGAAAATGAATTTCAAGGAAAACGTAAATTCCTACATTGATTGTTGTAGGAGCTTCCGCGACCAAATTGCAAAGCATGGTACTCGAAACTACATTATTCACAATCATGTTCACATGAGTCTGCGTTGAATGGAGGTCCTTCAAGGCGCTGCTACGACAACAGGGGCCATCTCTGAAGCCTCACTGTACGCCACCATTTTCGTCAAACAAGACATAACATCCCACACCATGACGAGAAAGGTTCGCCTTCCACAGCAACAACTGGAGCGCGACAACACATATGCCTGTGGAGCCACTATTGTAAGCACTACAGAAAGTTCGGGCACTAAACGAAGCAATGTCACTTCCACTCCAATTTCTGACAGCTCGTGCCCCCCTCTTCACCCCAGAGTGGACAATGGCGCGATGCTGACCAACAGCACATGTGCGCCAGCAAGATCAACCATTTGAGGACCATCGATCAACCCCGCGTGCCTTAGCCACGATAGTTCCATTTTAACCATAACCACTACATTCCAATGCTGCAGACCACATCGTCAGCAATATGGTGATACGACAATCCCGACTGATGCGACGTACAAATCTGCAGCAGCAACGACCTTCCTCTCCATCGCCAAAACATCTGACCTGCTGGACCATGGCCCAGAAACGACATTAACCCATTCACCAGTAGCTATTTATACAACAATGATTTCGAAATTTTCCTATCCTGCTACTTGAGAGTCTACTGCACGGGTATGACTCACTCCTAACCAATCCTTGAGGACTGGACTGCGTAACAACATATCTTCGAATGTGGTAACCCATCCCCCCTCCCCCGCCTCCCTTCTTTTCCCCCATCATTCTCACGACGACACATGGTAGGGTCATAAATATTGTTCCCACACCCACGGTACTCTACACCTTAGTGGCGAACAACGAAAATCGGATCTTCGTGCTCAAGGCACACGAAAGTAAGACACACACTACCTCTAGCAACATGCCGATCTTGCTAAGAAAAAACTTGGACCGAGGCATCAGTGTGACGTATTACATTACTCTGATAGATCAAAGAAAACTAATCCCTGAAAAAAAAAAAAAATCTTTGACTATCAGAGTACAAGAGTGAATTACACTGATAAAGTAAGCCCTGACTCATTCTTTGCTGTTACGATACTCATCATTCCGCTGTACCCTCATTATAGCACTATATATTGTAAAAGTACATTTAAGATGACGACATCTGACGCAAACAGCTTACAGGTTTTGTTCAAAGTTCAAGATGTTCTTTATGCTCAGTACTTGCTACTAACAGAATGTTCTCTATGTTATCAAAAACAGAAACCATTATAAATAATGTCAAATATTGTCTGTCCTTTAGTAATCATGAATCCATAGGAATTCCCCAATGACTCATGTGCAGGACGATGATATAATATGTCACATCACCTGTTTGGAACGAAGAAAAGGGACTATAGTTCCATATACGAGGAAACTATGGACGTTTGAAAAAGGACTACAGTTCCATAACTAGGAAACTATGTACCGTGTTCTCCCGGACATAACACCCTAGGCTAGATAACAAAATACAGGAAAAATAATAAGGTTTCTTATCATAGTTTTAAGCTACATAATACCCTGGTGCATATATATGGTATATTTTTGTGTTAGAGTCTTTTTTTCATTAGACAATTTAGGTGAAGTTTGGATGTTGTTTGTCTGTATCTGCTTGCTACAGGGACAGGGGAAACCAGTGGAACCTGTTAGGTGCAAATTCACATCGCACGACATCCTGCCGTCTGTTTGTACGAGTATGCGTGTGCGAATGCATTTGCGTGTGAATGGTATGTTTGTGTGTTTGTTTGCTTTCGCAATTTTCGCTTGAAGCATTTGCAGGTACTCGCGCATTGTGCACTTCGGCATAACATTGTACGCGCTATGAACAGTACAAGCAGAAAGGACGAGCTCGCAAAGGAGCCCAAGATGGAAGCTTTGCGGTTCGGCTTACTTGATTGCGCAGATTCAGTTCTATCCAACTCGAAATTGTACTGTTTTGTTTGGTTGACTATAGTGTAGCAGGGCAGGCACTATAGGGGTACAATTTCGGTGAAGGTTGGATGTTGTTTGTCTGTATCTGCATGCTACAGGGCCAGGGGAAACCAGCGGAACCAGCATTTGGCTGGTTGGGCAAAGACAAAACAGGTTCTGTTTTTAGGACCTGAACCTGGTTTTTGTTTTCCCAGGTTGGAAAAACAGAACCAGAGGTTGTTTACCAACCTACCACCTGCTGTTTTGTCCAGCCAGGTTGGTTCTGTTGCTTGGAATTATTTGGGATCATCCCTGGTTGTTCCCAGGTTGATTCCCAAGGTCCTTGCTAGCTAGAGCTATTTATTCCTTCTCTGTTTGTACCTGAATATAGTAAAATTGATTCAAGCGAATTCCTTCCTAGCTGGAATTTCGTTTCTACGCGGTGCGACGGCGGAATGCTACCCAAGTCAACGCTAGTACGCTAGCACTCCAACGCTAGGCTAACGCTGTCCGAGCCATAACTTCGTAATGGCAGAACTTTTCGCGAGGCAACTTAGCTTATTTTGAAGCTCTTAGAGTGAGCTTCGATATAGTAAAATCTCAGCTTAATCTGATCTACGGTCTGCATGATACGCTGCGCGACGTTCAAGGTACTCTTGCTGTTTTGACTAAGTCCCTCTTGATCCCTCTCTCTACAAACTCGGACCCGAGGATAGGGGCTGGTCTTGTACCAGGCACCCAAGGACCCTTGGAGGTGACCCTGAGGAAAGGTTTTAAGTTTGATAAAATCTTAATAGCTTGAGTTTATTAGGCCCTTACAGCAACAGAACCAGCATTTGGCTGGTTGGGCAAAGACAAATCAGGTACTGTTTTTTAGGACCTGAACCTGGTTGTTGTTTTCCCAGGTTGGAAAAACAGAACCAGAGGTTGTTTACCAACCTACCACCTGCTGTTTTGTCCAGCCAGGTTGGTTCTGTTGCTTGGAATTATTTGGGATCATCCTTGGTTGTTCCCAGGTTGATTCCCAAGGTCCTTGCTAGCTAGAGCTATTTAATCCTGTTGGGTGCAAAATTTACATTGCACGACATCCTGCCGTCTGTTTGTACGAGTATGAGTGTGCGAATGCATTTGCGTATGAATGGTATGTTCGTGTGTTTGTTTGCTTTTGCAATTTTCGCTTGAAGCATTTGCAGGTACTCGCACAATGTGCGCTTCGGCATAACATTGTACGCGCTATGAACAGTACAAGCAGAAAGGAC